AAAACAAAAATCCTTAGCAGGTTTCTGACCAATTCTGCCAGGAAGTGCCTTGTCCATCATCTCCAATTTGCCCAAATTGCATAATCCACTACAAAACTTATCCCAGATCTGTGGATTTTTGAGGATATGGTAGTTTATTCCTATTAACTTGCAGGGAAAATGTAAAAAAGCCATTTGTATTATTTTTCTGGGGTACATGTTGGAATAATAAATGAACAACAGAGGAGAGTTACCTGATCTGATCCTTAGGGATGAAGTTTAAAGAGCTCAAATTGTATACACATTGCTTGAATCCTAGGTCATGTTATTGACAGCTCTGCTTTAGGCAGCAAGTATAGTTATGGTTTCTTACTTCAATTCTCTAATAAAATGCTGAATTTTTTATACTGTTTGCTCCAGAGAGGCCCAAGACTGTTTTTTGGGGGGAACCAGAGCTGAAGGACACAGTAATGCAAACTGAGTATTTGAAGGTTAGGACAGTGCAGGGATATCAAAACTGAGAGACTTTGGCCCCTCTGGGAGATGAACCAAAGACGGAACTAATTATGAAGTGGGGAGAGGAAAAGGCAAGTGAATCTGCATCTTGCAGAGCTTCCCATGTGAGAAATTTTCACTATGGCTCGTTCTCCACTTTCAGGCAGAAAATCCCTTCCTCACAAAGAGAAGGGTGTGAGGTTGGAGGACGCAACTGAGACACTGCTGGAATGTTCAACTCTCCTGGAATTACAAGGAGAAGTGGTTTAGCTGTGTGACAAGGATTGGAGTTGCATGGTCTCTTGGGTGGAACAAGATGTGGTGGTGTTTGCATGGCACTGCTGAGGGGCGTGGGAGAGATGTGCAGGAGCAGGAAGACACCACAGATTGGCAATGAGAAGCATGCCAAGGAAGATTTTAAAATTATAGATGACCTGAGAAGAGGGAGGAAGATAAAATCTGCTTCCTTTAGAAAACTAAATGCTTGTACAGGAGTCAAGTGTGAAAAGAAAGAGGAAAGTCAGAACCACAGGATGCAAAGGCAGCTTTGAGTATCTGCCTCAGGCAAGAGACAGAGACAGACAGAAGAGAAATCAGTGAAGTTTCACTGAGTTTTCTCTCTGGAGGTTATGATGACGTGCAACAAACTCGGGAGGTGAAGAAGAAAAATGCTATGCCCAGTATTCTCAAAACAGCCCTGATTGTTCCACTGCTGAAATCCTTTGCAGGCAGCACACACTGCCCTGACTCACAGCCAACTTTCACCCCACACCTCCCCAGCTCAGTAATTCCCTGCTGTGGTGCAGGAAACAGCAGGATCCTGTCACATAGAGCCAGTTGAAGCAATGTCAGTATCATTTCACAATTTGCATTCTGGTGAGGTTATTTAACACCTCTGCTCTTCTAGGACAAATTTTAATAAAAAAACTCAACTTAAAAAGAAATTGGGTTTAAAAATGTCTGAAGGCTGATACCCAAACAGGTATTTAACAGAGTGGTAACTTGAACCTATTGTAACTAGGCTAAAAAATATCCTTGCATTCAGTTACTCACTTCTTTCACAGCCTTCTTTTCCATCTCTGAATCCATCTCAGATTCTCTTTATTTCAAAAACTATAGCCCTTGTGGAAGATGGTGCCAAGCTGACCCACCTTTTGCCACACATCTACAGGGCTACTTCTTCTAAGTCCTATGGATCATATGAGAGCAGCAGAAGAAATGTAAAGCTCCTTGTTGAGTAACACATGCAATCGTGAAGGAAAGTGGGTGGCATAAAGGAGATTTTTTTACAAGGTGCCTAGCGAAAGGACTTCACCATTACTTAATGTATTTTCTCAGCTCTTTCACTGGTCTGGGCTTGTTTACCCTTAGCCATGTTGCACAAATCCACCTGTTCCAGTTGTCCCACTGCAGCTGTAAAAAGCCCTTTCCTTCTTCACAGGATGAAAATCCTGAATGGCAAAAAAACCTGAGGATAGAGAGGTGGAGATTGTCTTTGTAATAAGTAATTTGCGAAGTGGGTTAGCAGGGACAGATACATCAGCATGTGAGGGATATTTATGGAATGGGGAATTGTAGGACTGCAGTTCTGTTTCTTCATTTTCAAGATTTAAATGGGTGCCAAAAATACTGTTGAAGGCAGGGGCATCCCAGGTGATGGCTAAAGGCATTTTGGAACAGAAACAAACAGTGTCTACATAGCCATTTCCTCAACAGACTTATCACCTGAAAGCTCAGAGCACTGGAAGCACAGAGAGGGTTAAAGATGAGCAGTTCCCAGGCTGGCAAATTGGCTTTACTTGTAAAGGGCACAAAAGGGCACAGGCACACCCAGAGCTGCAGAAAGTGATGCCTGCTGGTCAATCCTTGCACGGTAGAACAGGAGAGTCTCTGCTTTTGAAGGCCACTGATGTGGGCTCTGCAACAACTGTACATTTAATGTATTGCAGCTATACCCACTCAGCAGTCCCAGGAGCAGCAGTGAAGTGCAATTATGCAGAAAGCATTCAATTCCAGTAAGGTTATTATTTACAGAAAACAGTTTGTAATGAGGTTTCAGAGACAGAAGTGTTCTAACAGCTTGGTCACTGACCTTTTGTGTCCTCATAGCTTGATTACCTCAAGATCTGTATCTGACATCCTGTAAATACCCACTGCTGAACAGTGCTGGACCATGCACATTCTCTTCCTCTCAGTGACGTGGATTCCTAGAACTTCTCTATACTGTGATACCCCTCTCAGCCTTACACCCCAAATCACTTATCTGTGCTGTAAAAAAGCCCAACAACTGGAAGACAGAATTCTAAAATCACAGAATGGTTTGGGTTGGAGGGGACCTTAAAGATCATCTCATTTCAACCCTCCTGCCATGGGCAAGGACACCTTCCACTAGGCAAGACAGACAGACCAACGTGCAGAGATGGACTAGAAAGAAGTCACCTCATTTTCTTGGTAAATGTGGTTAAAAAATGGCGGTATATAGAGAAACAGAACATGATGCATGGATTGAGCTCTTCAAGAAAGCAAATTATCAGTGCTTCTTTTCTCTGCAAGTCTGCGTCATGAAAGTCTGAGGGTGGCTCCAGCTGAGCATGAGTCAGAGGAGTCTTCTCAGCATTTTGTAGGTTGTCCCTTTACATACACAATTTTCCATTACCTCCTTTCAAATGGCACAGAGATGAGGATGGTACCTGTGTCTGATGGATCCACTTGTTTCTGCAGAGGAATGTGAAAGCAGTGATGATATCTCAGAGCTAGATATTTCTGCCAAGTCATTTCTATTTCTGTAATCTTTGAAAAAAAGCCAACAGTTAGCCACAAGAGTCCATACTAGGAAAGATTTTGAAGATGGAGATCACCATGAAGGCTGCAGGAATTAGAACAGCAGGTCAGCAAGGAAGGGAAGACAGGAAATTCATGGCAGCTACACTGAAATGCCATGCATCTGCCTTCTGTATGGAAGCATGATCAAACTGATGCTCAGATAGCTTTGCCACTTTTCCCTCAACACTGAATGCCTTGGAAAACCCATCAGCATATGCCATGAGAAAGAATATGATGATTCTTACTACAAAGAGCTATCAAAACTACTAATTGTGAAGAAAACACATCTCCAGCACAGAAACCTATTTATCAAATAAGGTTTACACCTTCACTAGGGTGACATCCATTCCAGGGCTCAAGGGCACCTCAATATAATTGGTCCCAAACTTTGCCCCTGAGGTAGAGCAGACAAAAACCCAAGTGCACAGCTGTGAGAACAGTAACTCAGGGCAGCCTAAGAACGAAGAGAATGTGACACAGCAGATGAAGAAGGAGCAGCAACTGCATCAAAACAGTAAATTCTTGTCCCAAGGGTTTGAGAAATGTGAGGAGGGTTCTGTCCACACTCTGCAGTGCACCCACCCTGGCTGCGCTGTGCCATAACATGGTGCAGAACAGAACTTATTTTACCCAGTACCTCACTCTGCTGAAAAATGGGAATGGGAGCAGTTTATGGTCTCCAGGAGGTTTCAGCTGCAAAGGAGTCTCTCTGACACAAGAGGTACATGTAATTCTGGCACTGCAAGCTGACCTGCTTGTCAGGAATGTCTGCATCACAGCAGGATGATATTTGTCTGTCAAAATACCCTTGTCTTTCTCTACTCAATTGCCTCCAACAATGGGCTGTTGCCCTTCTTGGGTCACTCGTTTTCCAGGGGTTTCTTGAGGAGCCCCAGGATTTTCCTGAAGCTGAGGGGATGATGACAGCAGTCCATTGTCCCTGAGGCAACTTCTACCATTAAGTGATTCAGCTGTTCCTGTCAGGTGGCTTGTTTACTCCTGTAACACCAGAAGCGTTTGGGGACCGTTTCCATATCCTTTGGATTTTCCTTTTGCAAAAGAGCCTGTGGGAGTTTGCTGCTATGGTGACTCTAAACACCTCTGAACACCCCTTTCCCTTGGGGCTGCTGCAGGATCACTGCTAAAGCAGCAGCTTCTTGTGGCAGGACAGTTTTCTTATTATTCCTTTTCAACTGAATTTCTAGCTATAAGCTTCAGTAAATATGAGAGGTGTAACGAGGTGTAACATAAGCCATAGAGACCATTGAAAAAACCCCAACAAAAACCAAACGAATTTCTGAGTATTAAGTTAAACTTGCCATGAAGGACAATTTTCCCAAATCAAATCAGCTTGCTTTAATCTCTTCTTCCTGTTGAGTCCCTGCAGCAACACCATTCCACTTTGTTGTTGCTAGAGATCAAAAGAACATAATTTACATTTCTAAATCTGCTAGGAAGGTGGGACAATGGTTTCCAACTAGTAGCTTTGCTATAAAAAGGAAGATGGAGAAGGAAAATGAGGATGCTGGGTTTGATTTCTCTTATTCTTTTTATACACAAGTAAATCCAGTAATCCGTGAATTATTCCTGACTTATGCTGCTGTAAGTAAAAGGATTCTGATTCTTCAGTCAACACATCTGTTCTTAGATCCAGGAAAATATAAAATTCAAAAGTCTGTTATGACACCAAGAATAAGCCACTCTCCACCTCTACAGTCTCCATTTTATTGCTGCTGGTTGTGAAGAATCTCTGATCACAAGGATGTAGATGAGGAAAAGGAATGGTTTTCAAATTCTGTTTTGGTTGACTAGATGATTTCAGGGTAAAAAGAACATTAAATATACTTACAATATGCACAGCCCATGAACAGACAGATATAGCTTATATTCCTGAGTACAAATAATACCTACAAAATACACTAGGTATGCAACTGAGCCAATCATAGCTTGTGCTGAGTGTTACTTAATTGGTGGGAAAAAAAGAGAAGTTTTTGGAAGAGCTCTTTCACCACTGTCTTCTGCCTGATCATATTTAATAGGCTTTTCCATGTGGTTTTCCAAATATTTCTCTGGAATAGCATGCTTCCTTGTGTTCTGCACATCACTTTCTGCTGTGCCTGTGAAGGGAGTCAGCCTGTCAGCCAGTTCACTTCTCACTCTGTCAGCTGCATTTTTCCAGAGATTCTCTGCAACAATAAATCATGTAAATGAGAGGTTAAGACTGCAGACTCTTAACAGCAGGTAAAACACAGGATTGACACAAACTCCCAGCAAATCAGGTGAAAGTTTTGTCTGGGATCTTGCAAACCCCACTGTTGCACTCTTTTGCTCTGAAAGTGGCATGCAGTATGATGTCAGATACTGTTTTGCTTTCAGGAGGGAAAAGGGCTTTCCATGTGAATCTTTAGCACTTCCAATCTTGCAGGCAGCTGAACTAAAACATAAGGCATGCAGTTCTACACAAGTGAGGAATGGTGCCTTTTCCCATCCTGTTTCAGTGGTCATCCATTATCTCCACACTTTCACGTGCCCTTACTCCAGGCAGGTGACAGTAAACACAAAAAAACCCCAAACACTTATAAATGCACTTAGTTCTGAGGTAGCACATGCTTACGAATAGTCTCTCTCCTATTTTCCAGTGCAGAGAAGGAGCCATCACTCATCTTCCTTGGAGCCTGTGTTTTCCGGAATATTTTTGGCTCCTGGATCCACGCGTGTTTCATCGCTTCATCAGGAGTCATGCGCAGGGAAGGCTCCCACCTTAAATCCACGGGAGACAAATCATTATTCAACTATTTCTATCTGAAAATTAATACACAAGGCAAAAGATTCAGCCTTGCCTTTTGGAAGTCAGGTCATGAGGAACATTTTTTTGAAATAAAATAATTTTACCTTTTTATCCCAAAACCATGGAAAAATCTTATGTTATCTCCATCCTTTGAAGCCTATTTACATCAGCACTGTGCTGATCAAACCCTCTGCAGCATCAAAATATTTTTAATACGTAGTTCCTGGTTCTAATAGGGTAGAGACCCAAAATTCCTTGTTTAAGGTTTGGTTTTTTTGCTCCACTGAAATAATTTTCTGAAAATCCTGATTCAGCCAGAAAAATGGATCAATGATTCACACAGACTCAGCAAACAGAGAACACTGAAAGCAACCTTCTTGTGAAACAGAGTGGGATGATTTTTTCTTCCCTTCCCATGTAACCACAAGTTAGCAGTTCCTTTAGAATTTCTTTAGCAAAGTGCTATTGAACTGCTAGAAAGAAATCTGAAGTCACTGCTAAAGAAGACATAGCAAAGTGTCAATAGTAATAGTTATACAAATGATGCCATGTGGAAAACAAAAACCCAAAACACCCCACCAAAAATTAAAAGCCAAACATAACAGATATAAAGATTTTAAAGGCAGAAAAGAATGAAAGCAAAGTCAAAACAAGCTTATTGTGTACAGCATTGAACTCACATTAAGCATCCTTTCAAAAAGTCCAAGAAACCAGCATCATGGGTGTTCAGTACTGTGCTCAGATCCTTGGAGTCTGGGCATCTCTTTTTCCCCTTGCTGTTAGTTACGGATTTAGGAAAACCTTTGGAATCTTAAAAAAACAACAGACAACCTCAAGAAAATTACATTTAAAATCTTCACTAAACACTTTAAAAAGTTGCATAAACAGTATCCATTATACAATTATACTGTTTGTATACATACAAACAGTATCTGCCATCCCACTAACTCCAGTTTTTGCCTCATTGGATTGATAATCTGCCAGAATTGTGACAAGCAGGACTGGTTACATCCTAAAGACTACATTCTATACTTGGTTGGTTTTTCCAAACCCAAATTTTACACAGAGAAATGAACAATGAAAATTAGTTCCCAGAGCCCACTGCATTCCTCTCAACAACAATATTTTTAAGGAGCAACTTCTCTATCACTTTGGCAATTAGAGGCTCATAAAACATGAAGAGCAGAGCTCCAGGTTTGTTTATAGGCCTCATTTTATCTTTTTGCTTTTTTTCCATGCCTCTTCCTGGAAGTATTTTTATCAGCTAGGAACTTGCTAAAGATCTCTGACCCTACTTTCTACCAGTGCTATTAGTGATTAACTACCAGGGAGGGATCCAGAAAGGGCAAATACTAAGAAGAAATTACCAAAGAATGTTCGCCTCCTTGATGCAGCCTGGATAAAATCAGCTGGTGGAAGGCCCAATACCTTCATAGGAAATGAATTCATAGAGTTACTCCTCATTTCATAAAGATACACAACAAGCATCACGTGAGATGTGGCATTTTGCCCTCCTTGTGAAAGGAAGCTGAATGTTGCAGTTTACTGTGAAATGTCTGCAAAATATTTCCTCTTATTGTGGAGGGAATTAAGGGGTTCCTGTACACGTCTTTGTATCAAAAATAGCATGGCCAGCAGAACTAGAGCAGGGATTGTCCTTCTCTCCATGGCACTAGTGAGGCCACAGCTCAAATCCTGTGTCCAGTTCTAGGCCTGCACTTCAGGAAGGACATGGAGGGGCTGGAGCACTTCCAGAGAAGGGAATGGAGCTGGAGCACAAGTCTGATGAGGGGAAGCTGAGGGAGCTGGAGGGACTCAGCCTGGAGGAAAAGAAGCTCAGGGGGGGCCCTCCCGGCTCAAAGAGCCATTTGGCTGGATTAAACCTCCCTCTGAAAGGCTGCAGCCAATCATATTTCATTATTATTTGAGGTTTCTGATTGTACAGTTTATCAAATAGTTATGCAAACCAATCCCAAAAGTTACCTCCATGATGCAGGCAAGTTGGTCAGCTTCATTTTCCCCTGGGAACAGTGGATAGCCTGTGTAAAGCTCTGCTATGATACAGCCCAAGCTCCACATATCAACAGCCATAGCATAAGGATGACCAAGAATCACCTCAGGGGAGCGATAAAAGCGGCTCTGAACATAGGTGTACACTGGATCAAAAATTAGACAAGCAGCAAAATATCACAGTTAGGACTGAAATGTCAATTGCAGACTTCACAGAAAAGTGGCATATGTTCAGGAATCATAGATCTGTCTATCCACAGATAGCTCACATAGGCTCTGGAAATATTTTCTAATCCCATCCAAGAAGTAATGGGTGATACACTTTCCACTGTTAGAAGTTGTTCTTCAACAAGTTTCACTGAAGGAAATTGTTCTACTAGTGCTGTGATTCAGTTAATCCATGCTCACTTTCCTATTTGGAGGTGTTCCATTTGCATCAATCAACAGTTCCTAAATTAAAAACACAGTTCCCATTTCCCTGTGGTATTTGTACAAAGAGTACCAATTATAATTTAACTGTCTCAGAGAAAGGCTCTCTGAACCTGACAAACCTCTTGATAAGTGTAATATTTGGTTATCCTCTTAAGTTTGTTCCAGCTAACCACTCCTGAAAGTGCAATTCTGATTTCAACAGGAGTAGAGAAGCTGATCAGGCTTGGGACAAAGAAAAAGAACGTTAATATCTTACTTGTCTTAACCAGTATTTGCTCCACCAGTGGCTGAACAGTGTTCTAATTAGGGACATAGGTCAATATATTGCCCAATCCAAGAAATAGGTTTTTTCCATATTATTTAAAATTAAGAAAGCTTATTAAGAAAATTACATCAACTTGACTTTTCTGCAAACCTCTTTGGTCTTCATAGCAGCTTGATCCAAAATCAATAACTTTGACTGAGCCTTGCCCATTGTGGTATAATAGTATGTTCTCCTAAAAAGAAAAGAAAAAAAAAAAAGAAAAAAAAAAGAAAAAAAATCACAAGGAAAAGAGGGGTTTAGCACCATATTAAATTAGTAAACACTTGGAAAAAAAATCAGAGTGCAAATCACAGTCACGCTTCTCTGCATAATGAGAGCTTCAAAATTCGACCTCTTTTGGAAGGCAATTGCTAACACGAGAAGGCAGCCAATAATGTGCAATTGTGCAAAGCAGAGAGGAGATTTAGAAAGGTACCCAGGCTGCAGGTGAGCCAGTGAGCTCCCAAAACTCAAGGCCGCTATCTAGTAAAAGCCAAATTGCACCTGGATTTGTGCTGTGCTGAATGAACCAGAACCGTCCTTTTGTAAGCACAGAAAGCCCCGGGCACATGAAGGAACCACACTCCACAGTTCTTCCCTGCATTGCTTGCTCCAGACTGTGTCAGCCCAGCCCTCTCCACCTGTGTGATGCACAGGTGTCAAGGGACAGATAAACGGATGAGGCAAGGTCCTATGGATTCTTAGCTCGGTGCAGATGGGTACAGCACTGGGTTCCTGCAATACCAGCTGGAGAAGTGATCTTTATACAGCCAGGTCAGGGATATGTGTTCTCATGAGCAAACACAGCCTTCAGCTCTCCTCTGCAGAACTGAGTTTTATCCTCATTAAAAGTCTGTCTAAATGAAGGATTTCCTTCTCCACTCCTCAGCAGACAGATGGTTACCTTTATCAACCAGTTTTACAGTGATGGTATGTCAGGGTTTTGGAGGACTGAACACTTCCCAGGTGGGTGCCACATAATGATGAAGTGGTTTCCTGGGTAGTTAGCTCATAAGGAAATGCTTCATGTGCCAGGAAGGAGAAGCTGCTACTGGTGAAAGCCAAGGCAAGCACTGACTTCCACAATCCGGGTCTGGTAAGAGAAGCAGCATCCCCTCTCTGCAGCTTGATATCCCTTCGTGCTCATGCTAGGACTCAGTCTCTAATACTAAATCCCTCACAATGCAAGGGAGCTGATCAAAGCTGGAGAACCAGGATCGACTGGAAAACCAGACTTTGGAGGCAGTGATTGCCTAGCAAAAAAGCTAGACAAACTCTATATTCTACCTTGTGTTGAGAAATATCATAGGAGGCAGATGGGATAACAGATGTGAGTTTCAGGCAACATAAATTCATGAAACTGTATAATTGTTGAATGAGAATAAAATTGTCTTTTAGTTAACTCACTACATTTTCACTAATATGTTGCTCTGTTTAAGTACAGGCTAACACTAATTACTGCTGCCAACGTCACTCCTCGTCAGTGGCTGCCTGGAAACACTTCCCATTGGGCTAATTGTTTTTGATTCAGATATTTGGGTTATCTTGTAAGCCTCTCTTCTCACTGCAAATTGGTCTGGCAAAGATATTGGCAAGACAACAGGTACAGACAGGATGTGACTTCTCAGAATTCTGAATCAAGATACATTTAGCAAAGTGAGAACAGAATTTTATCCCTAGCATTTTTACCTGAGAACTTACTTATTTCTTTATTGCTTCATTTGCCCTTTTGAAAAGGAAATCAAGAGAAACTTTCACCTGAAGTGAAAATAGAATTAAATACTTCAGAAATCTCAGAAAATTGCAAAAATTTAAATTTAGGGCTTAAGGAGAATGGAAATGTTTCACCTAGCATGAATGCCTAGCAGATACAGCAGATGGAACTGGATGACAGATGTTCCTCCAGAAACAGATGAACACCCTAAATACTGTTCCACAGAACCCCTTTGCCATTTACTAGGCTACTTAATTTTATAGTTATGCCTAAGAAATTAGACTTAACAGGATAACTTGAAACAAGCTGTCTTGTGAATACTCCTCACATTACAATGTCCCTCATCTTGAAATACTTAATTTTACAAGTACTTCTCTTTTTCTCTAAGCAAAAAGTCATTACCTGAATTTGATTCATATTTGCATACATTTTGGCAACCAATAATCTCATTAATGCTTCAGCGAATGAGCTGAATCAATTGTAATAATCAGTTGACTGCAGCATGAACATAATCTGAAATAAATTACAGCCTCTGTACAAACATCATACTCAAGCAATAAAGACTAGGATAAGCTCATTTATGCTGTGCAGAATACCAGGTGATGAAATGATTGTACTTACAGGCTTCAGATCACAGTGAATGATTCTTTCCTGGTAGAGCACTTGTAAACACCTCAGCACACACCGAGTGAAGTGGCGAATCAAAGACAGGCTGAAGCCTTGGAAATTGTTCTTTTTGATCAGCTCATACAAATTTATTCTGTGGGGGAGGAAGAAGCAGCAGACAGAATACAGATAAGAGATTGGGGAATTTATTTTTAAAGGCATGATTAGTTTCCAGTGCATTAAGAGCTTGTCTTCCCACATGGAGGACTCATGCAGAGGAAAATGACAGCTATTTTCCTCCCTGAGAATGATGCTCTGCATGTGATAGGCACAAACACCTCCCAGATCTAAAGCAGATGTCAAATCAGTGAACTTGCTTGCTAAACTCTCTGCTGTTAAGCAGCTGTGCTGATTTTCACCAAGAACAATACTCATTGAGTAATCAATAAATTTTTTTTCTGTCTCCTTTTGCTGTCATTTCTCTTTGCTTTGGCATCTTGAGTAAATAATTTCTGTCTAAAGGTTTGTAACCAGCAGTAACTATTTCTAGATAACCCTCCCATCAAATCAGGTCTCATTAGGTTTTTATATCCCTCCTGTGACCATCACATCTTAGCAACTTCCAGTAGCCTGGAGAAGAGAAGGCTCTGGAAGATCTCATTGCAGCTTTCCAGTGCCTTAAGTGGCTTATAAAAAGGAGGAGGAGAGATTTTTGATAGCAATAGGACAAGGGGCAATGATTACAAACTGGAAAAGGAGTAGGTTTAGATTGGATATTAGGAATAAATTCTTCCCTGTGAGAGGAGTCCTCAGCACTAGCACAAGTCTGCAAGGACATGACCAACTGGAGCTTTCTGCCTTCCCCACTGGAATGTCCACTGGTGGCAGGCACGTCCCATTCCTTTGGAATTAAAGTTGCCAAGACTTAAAGGAAAAGATCACAAATCAAAGGCTTTTCATGGTATTTTAAAGGCAATGAAAATTTTAGCAGACAAACATTTTTCTATGACAACCAGTCTTCAACTCCTCTGTAGAAAGCTAAAGATAGTGGCTATCCCATTTCCCTGTGTTTCCATAGCAGCTTTCAGAAAAGACTGGTCTGTGTCTTCCCTGGAGTCACCTCTTACCCTGTGTGCCTGTAAGTGACAGACTCACATGCAGCAGCACAAGGGATTTAGGTTTCTTTGGGGTCAAGCTGTCCATATGATGCTGAATCTTCAGCAGGGGCTGTAGCACATGCAGCAACGAGGTTTTTATTCTAAGGGCTGGGGAAGTGTGGGTAGCCTGGATAATTCCAGTATGATTCCCTGACTACAAGGAGGCTGATGAATAAAATGATCTGACTTCTCCAAAATTCCTCCAGAATTCCTCCTAAGTTGCCCTGCAGCAAAGATTGATAAACAGCAAGATGTAGTTTAATTTTTAAATTATTTGATATTATTCATATTTATATACCCTGAAGTTTACCAGTCCTGAATTTACTCTTTTCCTCACAGGTCTTTCGGGGAAGAAGACTTCAACACCCAGCACAGAAAATAAGGGTTGGATCATGTCATTGCCCGTGTGAAGTCTGAACGTGGCCTTTTTCAGTTCACCTTGGGTGATCAAAGGCTCAGTTATGCAGTCTGTATTTAGACAGTGTTCCTTTCTAGCTGCCAATTCTTCTGAAGAAGACATAAAAATTAAATCTTGTAAGGCACAAGAGCTACAATTCTCCTCAAGACATGTGTAAAGGAAAATGTACTTTACCCCAGCAGTTCAAAGGAGATACAGAAGTGATTGCGAAAGTAGAAATATTCCTTCATGTGGATGATATTGTGAGTATCATCTTTGTCTTTCTTCAGCAGAGCGTCAAGGATCTTCACTTCTACCAAAGCCTGGCTGTGAAATCTGAAATATCACATGACATCGGAATGGTGACAACTCAGGGTAGCATTTCTATTTCTGCAAATGCTACAAACACCACGAGCTTACTGTAACATCAGCAGGTGGGCCAATTATTAAAATGTTTCAAAATTAGTGTTTAACAGGGTTGAATGATTTCTTACAGTTGATTCCTAGCCTAAATGCACTGGCCTTACATAACACTTCAGGGTACCTAATTTGTCTTGTCAGAAGCACGTTTCCAATGAGCATCCAGACTAAAATCCTGGTGCTCTCAAGTCTACAGGAAAGCTTCACTTTCCTTGAACAGGGCCATGTTTCACACCTACCACAGCCAGACAGTGGGCTTTGAAAAGCATCTTTACACTTAGTGTTCACTGAGGGGGAAAATGGAACAGCTGAACATCTGTTTCACTGACTCTGCTTCAAGCTCAAAAATTTGTAACCAGCCACTTAACAGGAACAGGTTTCTTAGGGCTACAGTGTAGAATTTTTGATGTTCAAGCAAGTGATGGCTGCCTTCCAGCATATTCATGTGGTTTTGGAGCCTTGTCCCAACTCTCAGTCCTGCACAGCTGGTTACCTGGGTTGTGTATTCACTGTGCAACAGATAGAGAGACTTCCGTGTGAGCCTACAGAAACTGTGCTTGCTTTCCTAGGCTGTCTCTCCTCTGGGTCCAGGCCAGCTCCTGACATCCTCTTTCCTCACTCTGCCCTCACTGTGTTTAATGAATGTACAGGAAGTTTGATTTGGATTTGTTCACGTTGTCATAGTTTGCCTTTATATAACAGGAATGATTGTACTGGTTTAAAGTCAGCAGATATCTCACCTTTTCTTATTCCTTATTATTTTCAATGCCACTAACTCATTGGTTTTGTGATCCAAGCATTTGGCCACCTGCCCAAACGACCCTTTCCCAATGACCTCCAAGACTTCATAGCGGTAGGCAATGTGGTCATGCAAAACCTTCAAAAGAACACAAGGAGTTCAGATTCAAAGAGTACAGCAAAGACCAGGCTTCCCAGTAGCTCGTGTGTGTGAGAGTCTGCTGTCCATGACAGATGATGGGTTAGCTGCAGGTGAAGTCTAAATCAAATAAGGGTAACAAGGAAAATCCCAAGTGATGCTTCCATAGCCCACCTACCTTGTATCAACCCTGCATGACATACGAAGTGAATTCTCCCCTGAGCTTTAAAGTGCATTGTCTTCACTATGTGAATATTTATCTTCTAGAAACAACATTTATCTCACAGACAACATTTAAGAGTTGACATAAAACCACTACAAATGTCCTGAGTTCAAAATATCATAAGTTTTCCACTTACCTTTAAGTAGGAACCATGCTCATCATCATAACAATTATTATTCTGAGTTTCAGGCAAACCTTCAATCTTTTTAGCTTCCAGGCCAAGAAACCAGAGCTCTGTATAATTGAAAATTTCTTTTTGCTCATAGACTGTTAACTGGTTTCTAAAATTTTTCAAGGCTTCTAAATCAGAAAACAAGAACATAAAACCAAAAATCAATATAATGTCAGAAACCTGATGGCAAAGTGCTTTTACAATGGAACATTTCACAGTAGAGCACATCACTTTGAACAGGATATTGAGAAAAGCTGTTAGAGTTCCCTTCCAACTACGATTTCTCTGCTTCCACAGTTTCATACAAATTTCTATTTTTTTTCTGGCTTGCAGTATTAAGTTCAATAAAGCATTCATCATCTGTCAGCAAGACTTTTAAGAGAGTTTAGGTAAAAATTATTTAATTGTGAGGGAAGTTATGTATATAGATGTTTTTGAAAAATCCCATCTGTTGTCTTATCTGCTTCCTCAGGCTCCATAATTCACATGAAAAGTTACATTTTTATTGGTTTGATTGCCATACTTATAAAATGTCAGTAATGTCTAGTCAACCAAAGCTTTCAAGTACTCATTTTTCTCATGAAAATCATCAAGCTCAGATGCCTGAGGTTAGGAATTAAACAGAGCCCAAATCTGCTTTTCTCCTAGTTCTGATTCTTCTTGCATAAAATTTCAGCTGCCCTAACACCTCCACTCCCATCATTTAAATCTGGATATATATTCAGACAGGAGCATTATAAATCAATGTGTTGCATGCATGTGTGGGTGTTTTGTTAAACAGTGGCAGATCTTCATCCAGCAATGCAGGGATGCTAAATCATTTCAAAGCAAAAGGCCACTACTTTTTTTTCCCCTAGACTCCTTCTAGAAATAGATTAACTCTGTCAGAAACTTTCTAGATCTGAGAACTCCCAAAATGCAGTTTAGCCCACATCAATAAAATGGGACACAGCCACAAGGAAGTGGGAAAGGATTTTATCCCTGTAATGAATATTGCTGTCACCTACCTCTCCTAAGTCTTAGACAAATAAACATTTTTATACTCCATGTTTCTCTTCTGTATTTGTGTAAGTCAAATCATTCTCCTATTAGGTATCTCCCCAAGCTGGATAATTAGAAATCACTGAGTCCCATCCCTATTGCTGTGCTCTTAATTGTTAAATATTTCAGCAGCCATTGAGCATGGCTCCTCTGGTCCCTGAGTGTCCTGACTGTACCCACTCCTCATCTGTGCAGGCACCCTGTCACTCCAGTCCTTTCAGTTTATCCAAGGATATTCTACCTGAAGCTGTCATAGGCAGTTTGACCCCGATGCTGGTGCTCTCCAGTTCAGATGGTTTTGTATGGACTCTGGTATCACTCTCAGGAACACTGTCTGGAAGGTTAAATTGGGGGAAATTGCCTTGAGTTCCATTTTCCTGCCAAGCAGAAAAAAAAAATTAAAAATTAAAAACTGCTATATTCACAGAGAAAAAGCTGCAATATATTTATTTTGGATTGGTTGAATAATCTCTATGTCAGTTTTATGCTGAGAGAGAACAAGCAGGCTTGGGCACCAGAACACCCTGCTTATTCAGACAGCAAATTCTGACAAAAGCACTAAAGGCTGTTGAACCATGGAAGGATAAATCTCTGTAAATGAGAGATGAAAGTTTATCTTCCAGATTCATTCAGTATATGGACTCTCTAGAAATGCTGCACCAATGCTGCACCACTCAACACCAATGCTGGTCAGCCTTGGAGGGCTGTGGAACAATTCCTCTTGGAAAGCATGCCATACCAAGTGAAAGACACAAAGTTGATTTGGAATAACCAGTAGGGATATGCCAGCAAATGGTATATGAATGACTTGATTGTCTTCTCTGATGAAGTGACTGGATTGGCCAGTGGGAGAAAAGCAGTGCCTGCCTTGAGCAGGGCCTGTGACACTGGAGCCCAGTAAGTGGGAGATGGACTTGATAAAGGGATCATAATGTGAGCAGCCTGCTCCAAGTTTGCTCTGATTATAGTGAGAGGTTGGGCCAGATGTCCTTCAGAGGTCTCTTCCAACCTAAATGATGCCTTTATTTATTTCTCATCCTTTGAGAAAGTCCTTTTAGAAGTGGGGGCTGGATGGAGACCAAAAAAAAAAAGGTTCAGTGTCAGAAGGGTACCAAAGCCATATTCAAAAACCAGCACATGGTTGCCAAGACAAGGACAACTCTGGTGATGGGATATGGACTAACAAGTAGGCAAGCTTGGTCCACCATGTCCTTGCAAGAAGACCTGACTGACATCACTTCAATACAAGTATCTTGGTGCCTGTGGGGTTTGAGTTAAGGATATGTGCAAGTAAAAATGGATTCTTTTCAAAACGAAACATCCTTCCATACTTGTCTCTAATTCTTTCTTTCTTTCTCCCCCCACTTACACACTTGTGACACTTTGCCACTGACACTCTCTCAGTGGCACTTAGAGGCTGGTTCACCAGGCAAATGAGATATTCAGGAGATTTATAACTCACCTGAAGAGAGGGGAGGACACTCTTCAAGCTCTTATTTGCTATTTGAGGCAGGCTGCTCTCAAAGGGGAGAGGGTTTGCAGTGTCTGCAGCCAGACCATGCTTCACTTGACCTTCCAGATGTGGGAGGGAAAGGACACCACGACTGACTCTCTAAATAGAAAGCACAAGGAAATGTCACATAACGACCTAGCAAGCAGTTCTGTGCCACACCAAGGAACACTAAAGGGATTGAAATACTCGGAAAATGCGTGTGGTTCGCTTCTGACACCTAAAGGCAAAGGGGAAATGAGCAGATGCTAAGGCAGCTCCAGCTGTATTAATGGGCAGCAGGAGGTTGTCCGGGTAATCCAGAACAGTTTAGGGAATGAGATTCCTCACAAGAACACTCCCATCCAGCATCAGAGCAGCGACTGCTTCAGCTGCAAAGGGTGGTTGTGATTGGAAGTCCAGCGGCCATTCCAGGCAGCAGGACTCCTGTGAGTGGGGAAAATAAAGCCCAAATAGGGTAATAAGTAGGCATGAAGTGTCAATGGCAGAAAATATCATCAGCTATTCCCAGTGGCTGAAGAGAAACTGGGACTGGACTGCTGCCAAACACCAGGGGTGGACACAGTGGGAAGTCTTCCCTGCACTGGTTTCTCTGTATTTCCTTCCCCCTCATTTCCTATGGAGCTCGATTTGACTGGATCCCTTTTTTGCACTCGTTATTAGTGAGGAAAAGGCAAGCTTTCAGTAAACTCTGCTTAAAAATAAACGCTTCTGCTCATTCAAATAATCCAGGATTACTAGTCCTTCCTAACTTCTCCCATTTATTATTTGCAAAACACTTATCTATCATTTACTAATTACAGTCAGTCATTTAAGGACACAATTTTATGAAGGTCTTGTATGTCTTTTATCAATGTCTTCAATATCTCAAGTCAGAGACATCACATTTAACAGAAAAAACCTCTTTCAAGTAGACTATTTCTTTGGTAAAAAAAAATTTAAAATATTTGAAATAGATCAACTATGCACTGTGAAATGCAGAACAAGTTTCAGAGAGCTAAAGCTACAACCCACATAAACCTGTGACATTTTTCTCCTCAGGGAAGCATAGAAACATATTTGGCAAGCTTTTGACAACAAATGTGAGGTTTGATATTTTCTCAAAAAGCAAAGGAGCAATGCTCTCAAGCCAATGAACTTCAATGAGTAGGTTTTTTATTCCAATACTATGGAATAGCCTTTAAAACCTCAGAACTGGGATTCCAGTGGACTTTTCCTAATAGCTTCAAGAAACAAAAGTGATTTGGTAGAAAAAATGCCTCAAATGCTACTGAACACAGCAAAACCAAAATACTTGCAGGCATTTGAGACAGTCAAAGTCACAAGGGAAATGGAAGAGGACAGAGAATAGAGGACTTGCCTCCGCCCATATTCATTTATTATATGAGATCACTTAAAAAGCAAGCATTCAGGTATTTTTGAAGCCAGCTGAAGAGTCACATACCTGATGGAAGACTCTGTTAGAGCCCAGATGATCCCTCTCTTGAACAGTCAGCTGAGACTGAGAAAAAGCATCCACATGGGAAGACTGCAAACATGAAACAAGGCTTTAATAAAAACTACTCTGGAGGAAAAAAATTATGGAATCCCTGCACGGTTTCTGTGTTTCCCTCCTTTGTGGCAGTGCCTGTGCCAACACAGAGTGTGAGAGAGGGCCACAAATCTGCTGAAAACATGTTACACTCTGGCAATGCCTCTCTCAGTTGAACAGCTGTTTTGTGGGCTGGGGCAGAGACAGTTAATTTTGTTATTATGCCTCTCAGATGCTTGGTGTGCCCCTGTGCTCAGACAAGGGGAAGGGGGCCCTCTGCCATCCCTAAATATGTACTTGGAAGCTGGTAGTGAGTTTGCTTGGAAGGACAGCTTTAAACTGCCTCACGATGTAGATTGTGAGCCCATACATTGCTAAAAGCAGCAGTAAACTGATTCAGCTTGTGATACAGATTTTATAAAAACAAAATTAGGGTTTAAATTTACTGAAATATAGAAAAAACCCATTAGCTCCAATGGGAAGAGAGTATTAGCAATAAATACAAAAAAAAAAACCCATGGGGAAAGCACTAAGCAGCTCACCATTTTAAAGAGTTTGTTGGTGCTTTCAGTAGTTTTTTAATAAACATGCTAAGTAGCATTGTACATTTCTGCTCAATAACAAACTGCAATGAAATGAAGAAATCTTTAGGATAATTTAGACCATGAAAACTCTGTGGCTAAAGTAGATTGAAGCTCTGCTCTAGAGGCTGGAGTGAACCCACTGGGTTTGGTCCAAAGGGCTCCAGAAAGAGTCTGAGCCTGGAAGAAGCAGGGACAACTCAGATTAGATGCTGCACCTGTGCCAATACACTGCAGATAGCCACATAGACACATAGATATAGACACACATAAATATATATAAGCTGTAGTGGGTGAGGGATGCTCACATGCAAACTGACACACACACACACACACACACACACACTGTGACCTTGATATAGGCAGGGCACATCAGCCTTGCTACAAACAGGGAGATCAAACTGAACATACCTTGACAATGGCTCTGGCATATCCTGCCCTGAACAGAAACCCATACTGGTTTGGGTTGGAAGGGACCTTAAAAACCAAGCAGCTTCCACCAGACCAGGTTGCTCAGAGCTCCAGGCATCCAGAGCCTCTGTTAGACAACCTGTGCCAGGGTCTCACCACCCTCACATACAATAATTTCTTTCTCATATCCCATATAAACCTGTTCTCTGTCAGTGTGAAGCCATTCCTCCCTTGTCCTGTTGCTCCAGGCCCTTGTCAAGAGTCTCTCTCCATCTTTCCTGTGGGTTCCCTTCAGGCACTGGAAGGCCACAATGGGGTCACCCCAAAGCCTTCCCTTCCCAGGCTGAACTATCCCAATTATCCCAGCCTTTCCTCACAGCAGAGCTGCTCCATCCCTCTGATCATCTTGATGGCCTCCTCTTGACTGACTCCAAAGACTGTGGCATATCCATCCTTACACACACACTTAGATTAGAGACTCTAAAAGACCTCTCCAAACTAAATATAGAAATAAAACTCTGTGTAGTGATCTACCTGACCACATGGAGGAAATGCTGCCCTTTGACAGACTGAGCTATCTCACCATCAGCCAGGAAGACACCACTCAAGTTGGGCAGACCAGCTTGAAAAAATAGTGTTCTGTGTGTGCTCTTCCTGTTCACAAGAGAATAAACAAACCCTTCTGCAGGGGCAAATTTCAGATCAAGAACAAACTGAGAACATCTCTGACTTGAGATGAAGGATCATGGGTGGCTGTGAAGCACAGGAGAATGGCAAGAAGTACTAAAACCTGTCTTTGCTGGACACAGTAATCCCCATCTTTGGAACTGGAGATCATGCAGCCAGGGTTAAGGGATGATATGCTGTAAATCCAAAATATTCCCAGTACCAGCACAGCAAATGCCACAGAAGAGGGCCACTAGACTAGTGCATCCTGAACAGCAATGTCCTAGAGCACAACAGTTTGCCCAGAGCACCAAATACCCTTGTATGAATTTCTTAGATGATAATTCCATGGAAGACTCAGTGCCAGAGTATTTCTCCAGACAAACTACAAACAGTCTTCTCATGTAATCTATCTATCTTGCATTTCACAGGACAATCACACTTGTTATGAAGGTGAGTATGGGATACACATTCAAAACACTAATTATATCAGCCCAGTTCTTAGTATGACTATTAATTTTAGTGCATGTTATACTTTTTCCTCACACTTCATCCATACTTCATTCCCAGAAAGCTATCATTTTCAGTTTCTAGAGCTGATTAAAATGTTACATTTCATTTAAATGCAGTTTCTTAACTGCTTCGTGCTTTTCTACCTACAAGTCAATACAAAGCCAGGATTTTATAAAGAAAAAGCTATCACTGAAAAGCAAGGAAATAATGACTTCACATACCTGTGCAGACTGCAGAATCTTCACTCCAAAATGGCATTTTATTTCTTAGCAATACTTTTCAAAAGCTAGGCAGTTATATCTATATTACTAAGTTTTTTTTAAAGTAGATTTACTAACATAGCATGAAAAATTCAAAAAACATCTTTAAAACTGAGCAAAAGCTAAGGAAGAGGGTGAGTGAGCTTCAAGATATGCTGTCAGAATTTGCAATCCATTTAATTTCCATTCAGTGGGGGAAGATTAACAAGATTTTGAGGTGGACATTTCTCAGTGCAAAAGCTAAACTAGTCCATGCCTTTTATTAACCATGGAAATCTGTGATCCTCTTTGTTCCCCTTTCTCAAAACCTACTTACTAAGGATTTACTGCACTTTAGGAAATTTATTCAATAAAAAAAAAAAAAAAAAATCAGTAAGTGATCAACCTTCATAAAATTCCCCCAAAGGGGTAAATAACAGACTTATATTTGTAGAAAAACTGATCTGAGCCTACACCAGTCCTGCTGGTGGCTGAATGAGGAGCAGGTGGATTTACTGGACAATCCACCCAGTGGCTTTATTTGATGGTCTTGATCCAGGTAATCCAGCAGAGCTGCTCTAGCAAAACCCTGCCCTATGGGCTCTGCTGCTGAGCTGTTGTGGCTGGGTTCATTCTGGCAGATGCACTCCAAAGAAAAACTGCATTATTATGTTATTATTCCACTCCATTTCATTCCTGGCTTCCTTGCTCCTGTGGGACTCAGCCTTGTCCTACAGCTCCAATGCTGCAATCCCAGATTATCATCTCCTGCTATTCCAGCCCTTCAAATCCTGGATCACCTTGCTCATTCCCGGTACCACCAAGGAAACAGAACAAGGTCCTCATCCACCACCTAGCCCACAGTCACAAAGTTTTAGGTTTACAGCATTCTATAAAATCAGACATCATGACACTTGCATAATTCTCAAAATATCAAGAGTATTTTTTCAGTACCACGTTAACCATAGAAATCATAAATGCATTAAAATCTTAGAAACTTTTAAATACACAACTACATAAAATAAAGACTCCATTGTCTCCTCATTCACATAAACATTCTTTTCCCTCTGTTCTCAACAGTGAATGAAGCCTGTAGAATATATGGTACAACACAGGTCCTAAATCATGCAACACATGAAAAAGCCATAGCAAATACACTCTCTCACTCAAAATACAGTAGGAACACAAACATTTTCCCCACCTTGTCAACTATTTCTGTCAGCATTACTGCGAGAGCTGTTAAGTGCAGGATAGGAGCAGTTTATTCCATTCAGCGAAGGCATTTCAGGAAGCCCACCTTCATCTAGTCAGAGCATAGCAGGAGCAGTTCCATGCACAGTGCCCTGAGCAGAAAAAAATGGATAATGCTTCTGCTTAGCTTCAGATTTAAATCTTTCTCCCGGAAATATGCCAGTGACTATTAGCTGCTCTAGTATTCTTTTGGTGGCCATCTGTTCCCTTTCTCAGCCTCCTTCTAGCCAAATATAATTTTCCATATTTATCATGGCAAGTCAGTAATAAGAAAGACAAATATAACAGGATTGGCTGTTCTCCTTGTCATCTCAGTCTGTTCTTTCTCACTGAGCTCATGTGCTTGCGAAATCAAAAAACACTTGAACTTGGATTTTGTCAAAATTTGTCACAGCGACCTTGCTATACAGTGAGCAAAATCTCTTCAACATGACTGACAGACTGGAAAATGAAAATTAATTAATTCCTCAAGGGCTGGTTTCTGTTGGGCATTATACATCAATTAATGAGGACCAAACTGTGGCACCTTGGTCTGTAGTTCTTGAGGGCACTGGTGTAGAGCTGCTCTGCAGGATAATGAGTGTGTGGATAATGAGATAGAGCTTAGCTGCCCTCCTGTCTTTCCTCTTCCTCCTTTGGATGCTGTGCATGTGTGATGGGGCATTGATGGAAGTATCCCTACTCCCCAGCTGTCTTAGGGGAATATCTAAAGCAAAAATACAGTGTGGTCTCCTCCTTCATACAGCCAAAGAATGGCATGTTCCCTGCTGGTCTGAAATCTGTCAACAACCCAGAATAGTTCTACTTTCACTCAGAAACCAGGGTCTTCAAGGAGGAAATACATGCTCACCCACTGAAGGCTGCTGCTCTTACAGATGCTGCTGGAATGGTCAAAAGACAGAGTTATTCCTTTGCACCCATAGTGGTCTCTGCAAAACCTTTCCTGATGTAATTGCTGGGCTGCACCTTCCTGAAAGGCACATTGCTCCCACTTCCATCACTCCCACTTTTCCATTCATCCAAGCTTGGAAGCCCTCTAAGCAACAAATCCTGCCCAGTATAATAAACCTCATGTGCAAGAGAAACTTCTCATTTTCTCACCAAATAACCACTCAGGCTGTCATACCAGCAGGGGACACATGCAGATCATAGAGTCCCAGATGGCTGGGGCTGGAAGGGGACCTTAAAGATCATCTCTTTCCAACCCCCTGCCATGGGCAGGGACACCTTCCACTATCCCAGGTTGCTCAGAGCCCCATCCAGCCTGGCCTTGGACACTGCCAGGGATGGGGCAGCCACAGCTTCTCTGGGCAACCAGGGCTTCACCACCCTCACAGGAAAGAATTTCTGCCCAAAATCCCATCTAAACCCTCGGTGGGAATCTATTCCCCTGTCCTGTCACTCCAGGCCCTTGTCAATAGACTCTCTCCATTAGCAGTCCCAGGATAATCTCCACAGAAAGGAGTGAAATACAGATCTGCCCATGTTTCAGCCATTCCCCATTTAGAAGAACATCCTCTATTTTCTTTATTCCCTTTCTTTGCAATGTTTTCTCACTTCCTTATTTTACTACATTCTTGTAAACGTACTCAAATTTGCTGTGATAAGTCACGCAGGACTAAACACAACCTTCAGGATCATTCTTTTGTAATATCTGAAGAGGACCAACTAATTGTTGATGACATAAGACATTGAATACAGTTTTCTCCTCCATTCTCAACATTACTCTCAAAGCAAGAGAAACTCTCCAGGATTCTTACAAAGTTTCAGTCATGCTACATTGAAATACAAAGCAGTACATAAAACACTTCAGCTATAAATTTCAAAGCAGTTTTTTTAATTTTGAAGGAAAGATTTACGATCTTTGTAACTAATTTTTTACAATTATCTACTTCTGAAAGACATTTAATTAAAGGAGCTAAGTGAAATAGTACATAAATTCCTTATGGATGTGATGGCTGCCTGTGGTCATCACACAGACAACATTGTTAACAAATTTGTAAGTTTGGCAACAACTCTGTGAAGTAGAATAGTATTAGTGGTAAAGAAAATGAATGAGTTTTCCCTGCAAAAAAAAAAAACCCTTGCATCATGGAGCAGGAAGAGGATTAATTCCATCTTAGCTAAACATGCAAGGTAAACAAATTTCCCTGTGGAAGCACCCCAGTCTTTTTATTGGCTTGTCTTGAGAAGGAGCCTGTTCCAATAATGTAGAGTACTTTTATATCCCTAGAAATAGATTAGATTAATTCTACTATTTTCAGCATTTACTCTGCTACTCCTGCACTTCAATCTTCCCCATCTGAGCGAGGGCAAAAAGCACAGAGGAACAAAGAACTGAGCCCTATCTCAGTGCTGTGGCCTCCATCCAGGCTCAAGCAGTGACACATGAACATCCAATGCTGCCACTGCAGGCTGAACCAGGGAAGATAAACACCAAATTCCCAATGTGAGTGGTGTTGACATAAAACTTCATAAACCACTCCTGCTCTATTTGCTCTAATAAAGCACAGAAGTATGCTTTCTGTTTTTTGCAAAATCAGTGCAAAGGGAATGGATGATTTAAGGTTTTGCATACATTTACTTGGGCAAAGAACCCACCAGATGAACCAATCAGTGCAAGTCTGATAGAAATAGAAAAGCCAGTCATGGGTTCTGGCTCCTTTAGAATGTTTTTTCCACAGAAGAGTGCAAAATCTTGGGCTAAGATAACGTCAAGATTCTAACATTCAAATTACTTGCTAGTAAATTGGCTCTTTAAAGTTTATTAACAATTCCTATCACACTTAAGATCTGCTCTCTCCTAGCAAACAAGAAAAAAAAAAAATCACAACGCTGTTTGTTCTAAATATGCTCAAAAACTGGATAAGAATCATGAATGCAATTTTATATAGGAGGGAATTAAGGCACTGTGTTGCTAAGGATGCAATTGCCAGAACCTTTTGAGATAATTCCTAACATCTGAGTAAGCGTCCTTGACTGAATTCAAATAGAGTTTGGAGACATGGGGATTTTCCAAAGAGCTCTCTGACTGTATAAAGCCAAAAGGACCTCAGCAACATCATAATTTCTAGAAAACAGACTGGGCAAAGAAATGACAGCCCAGAAATCAGGGCTCCAACTGATTTTTCTAATGCATCAATCTGTTCTCAGGACTATTCCAAGAACAGAAAATATGGTTATTCCCGGACTCAGAAACTGAAGAGGAATCACATGAGAAGCAGGAATTGGACATGAACCAGATAAGCTGATGGAAATCAAATGAGGTGCACAGATAAAATGTAGGTCTAGATATATTGAAAAGTCATAGGCAAAAAACCCTATCCAAGTTTGATAGGTAAATATATCATAGAATCACAGAATATCCTGAGTTGAAAGGGACCCACAAGGATCATCCAGTCCAACTCCTGGCTCTGCACAGATGCCCCAACAATCCCACCCTGTGCATCCCTGACAGTTCTGTCCAAACACTCCTGGAGCTCCGGCAGCCTTGGGGCTGTGACCATTCCCTGGGGAGCCTGTTCAGTGCCCCACAACCCTCTTTTCCCAATATCCACCCTAACCTTCCCCTGACACAGCTCCAGCCATTCCCCGGGTCCTGTCCCTGGTCACACAAAGCACAGATCAGAGCCTGTCCCTCCTCTTCCCCTCGTGAGGAAGCTGCTGTGAGCTCTGACCTCACTCTGCTCTTCTCCAGCTGAACAGATCAAGTGTCCTCAGCTGCTCCTTGTGTGGCCTCACTTGCAGGCCCTCCACTATCTCCATGTCCCTCCTTCGGACACTCTCTAGCAGCTTTACATCTTTCTTATATTCCAAAACCAAACACAATATTCAAGGTGAGACTGACCCAGAGCAGAGCAGGACAATCCCCTCGCTGGCCCTGGTAAGACCATGATGGAAAAGGATTTTTGTCTTGCTTGCCAAACCCTGAAAGCTTTGCAAGAACTTCCCTTCAAGAAAGAACTCCACCTATTTCTCTCAATGTGCAGGTGAAACGTGGGGAGCACCTGTGTTATCCCTGTGCTGCCTGGAAGTGGAAGCTGGAGGCCAATCCAGGAGAACCAAGGCTCTCCTTGTGTAGTTCATAATTACAGTTACTAAATACCTCCCCAAATCCTACTGGCATTACACATCCACCTGTGCATTCAGATATGCTTCCTAAATAATGCCCTTTGAGGAGGAAAACTAAGGAAATAATTTCCCAACCTCATCACCTCAGAGGAGTTACACTGTATGAAATCAGTACCTCAGCAACAAACGACCTCTCATAGTGATTTTTCTCCAGAAAGTCACTTCAATGCATCAAAGCATCAATGTCAGTTTTAAACTTAGAAACACAGTTTTTATAATGTAGGACTTTTGAGTTCAGAGTAATGCAGTTCACTGTATTTCTACAGAGCATTTTTTTTCCTCCAAAATAAAAAATAGTCCAACTGTCTACAATATACATAAGTTTTTAAAATAAAACAAAGCTTTTCACTTAAACCTAAAGATCATTCTGAAATCTTGTACAGAACCTTAGGTCCTCTGAGAGCCTATAAATTAATTATTTGCTTACTATTTATGCAGAAACCTGTAAGATACCCCTGTAATTTAGAAATGTTAATGTCTTATCTTTGCTGACAAGAGCAATGATACTGCTCTCAGTAAAAGTTGCCATCATAAAATCATAACTTCATAGAGTATCCTGAGCTGGAAGGGACCCACAAGGATCACTGAAGCTCTGCACAGGACAGTCTCAAGAATCACACATCTTAATTCTGCTTCTCCAAAGAAATTCAACTTACGGTTAATGCAATAAAAATATCATATGGAATTGATGGCAGGTGGTAAAACAGACTAAACTACCTTCATTCTGTTTATTTTCAGTTCCTCACAGCAGGTATGTCACAACCTAATACAGACATTTCTACATCAAACAATAAAAAAATGCCAACCATTATTACCTTAGGCTGGACTCTTTTACTTCTTCTCACTTGTAAACAAGAGTTACTGAAGAAGCTGAAATCACAGCAGCTCTCACTGCTCCTTTCTTGCTTTTCCCACAATGACAAAGCTCCATGTTTTAAATCTGTCTCCATTAAATTGCTCT